CCAAATTACACAGTTTAGAATTGCTATTTGTATTATTATTAGAAATTATTTTTCAAAACCTTCAGCCTAAGAGTTTATTTCAAATAATATTTTTTTGTATAAAAGCAAGTAATTTTCTTTAGAGAAATTAAAATATTAATATTATTTTTAGAGGTTTTTATAATTATGCGATTGATGGTTTGTAAGTGTTGAACTGAAATTTAGTTTTGTGTGATTTTGGAAAAAAATAAAGCAAATTGTGAAAAAAATATTTTAATAGAATTTATTTTGTAATGTGTCGAAAAAAGGATTTATTTATAATGAAATTTATTATGAAATTAATTTAATCAACATGTATTTGCAAAACGCGAGCCAATTATGAATAGTTTAATAAATCTTTAAAATGCAACCAGAAGGTGTTGGCGTGTGTGATTGATTAAAAACACTTTCACATATTTAACAAATTTTATTTGCAAATAATAAAGTGTGACCAAAATAATAAATAATTTAAAATATAGGCAAATTTAAGAGCCTCTCACTTACATTTAAATTTTGAAATAGTAAATTGTACTGATGTTATGAAAGAGAAACAAGTAAGAAAGTATAGTCGGCCGTGGCCGACCATATGATACCCTACACCAGTTATGAATATTAAATGTGATTTTTTTTTCATAATATCGCATTTATCTTCAATATTCCCTTGTTCCGATACATTTAAGCAATTTATGGATGAAAAACTAATTTTCTGAAAGAGGCTTTATATGGGGGCTAGGGGCAAATATGGACCAAGCCCGATAAAATTTTGTGAATATATTTATATTTACATAATATTTTATTGTACTGAATTTCATCGCGATATTTGTGTTTATAAGTTAATTTGGGACATTCAAGTAATTTTCTGAAGGGGACTTTGTATGGGAGCTAGGGTCAAATGGGGCCCGATCTTTATGAAATTTGGCAGGGTTATCAAGACTTCTATAAAACTTAGTTATGCCGTATTTTATTGATATATCTGTATATTTAACATAATTATGAGCTCAGAAGCCCTTTTCGGGGGGTTCTGTTCTATGGGGGCTAGGTGAAATAATGGACCGATTTTAACCATTTTTAATAGGCTTCGTCCTTGGGTCAAAAAAAAACGTGCGTGCCAAATTTCATCCAATTATCTTGAAAATTGCGACCTGTAGCTTGCGCACAAGGTTTACATGGACAGCCAGCCAGCCAGCCAGCCAGACGGACGGACGGACATAGCTTAATCGACTCAGAAAACGATTCTAAGCCGATTGGTATACTTTAAGATGGGTCTAGGACGAATATTTTTATATGTTACAAACATCAGCACAAATCCAATATACCCTCCCCACTAAAGTGGTGTAGGGTATAAAAATTGTAACGAACGAAAAAAAAGCATTAACTAAAATATCTACAACATTATACAAGTTTAAAATAATACTTATGTCCATATTTCTAAAGCATTAATATTGTATTTTGTATATCGAGCGACTAATAATCAAAACTCTCTAACTTGGAGGACGAAGAAAATGGTATATTTCGCTAAGTGATCCGATATACGGCAGTATATCTAAGGGTTAGCTTGTTTTCTAAGTATTTTCTCAACAAGAATTCATTTTCATTCAAATCTAAGATAGAAAGTTTTGAATATAATCCCTCCATATTTATATTTTGAGTGAATTTCTTTTTTTTTGTGCATTTCTTTTACTTAATGTATATTTTCTACCCCTCGTCTTATTTTTTCAGGTCACTTCGTGATGTTCTCGTTTACATAGGCTAGCAGAAAAAAAAAATTGGAAAAAAAAACAACAAGGAAAGAAATATTTATAAAAGAAATCATACCAGAACAATTGCTTCCCCCGAAAAAAAGAAAACTTAACTCGAAATAAAAAAACAACACACAGCAAATAAATTCTATATGAAATTACCGTAAAGAAAGTAGAAGAAAAAGCCTTGAGGCTTAGAAAATAAAAGAAAAATTCAACAAACATCTAGTGAAACAAACAAAAAGGAAAAAAAATCGTAAAAAAAACAACAAAGAAAATTTAAAACATTTTTTTTTTTTAGAAGAACAGCCAAATAAAACCAAAAAAAAAAATATTTTTTAGGCCTAAAAAAATACTTTAAATAAGAGAAAAAGGTAAAGCTTTAAAAGAAACAAGACAGCAACAAAAACTACAAACAACAACAAAAATAACGAAATATGTCTTCGCCAGCAACACAGCATCCACCAACAACACAGCAGCAGCAACAACAAAAATCAGCAGCAGCAGCAGCTACCAACAATAATATACATGAGAAACCTACAGCTGTAAATGCCACAACTAAAGGATCAACACAATCCACAACACAGGCCGCCACAGCTGCTGGTGGCGGCGGTGGTGGTGGCGGTGGTTCTGCTTCAAATAGTCTTAACAATAGTCCCACTAAAAAGCCACCATTAAATACTAAAGATCGTGTCATCGATAGTGTACCCTTTCCGCCCAGTCGCAAACTCAACTTGGCCGATGTATTCGATGCTCGCACGGGTAAACCAAATCACGATGTACTTAAGCAGCATTTTATATTGGAGGGTCGCATCGAAGAGGAGGCCGCCCTCAAGATTATACGTGATGGTGCTGCCTTGCTGAGGCAAGAGAAGACCATGATTGATATTGAAGCACCTGTAACAGTGTGCGGTGATATACACGGACAATTCTATGATCTCATGAAATTGTTCGAAATCGGTGGCTCACCGGCCACCACAAAATATTTATTCTTGGGTGATTATGTAGATCGAGGCTATTTTAGTATTGAGTGTGTCTTGTACTTGTGGTCGCTGAAGATCACTTATCCCACGACCTTGTTCTTGCTGCGTGGCAATCATGAGTGTCGTCATTTAACTGAATACTTTACTTTTAAGCAGGAATGCAAAATAAAATACTCGGAACGAGTGTATGATGCGTGTATGGAGGCATTTGATTGTTTGCCGCTGGCGGCTTTAATGAACCAACAGTTCCTTTGTGTCCACGGCGGCCTATCGCCCGAGATACACGAACTGGAGGATATACGCCGTTTGGATCGTTTCAAAGAACCTCCCGCCTTTGGGCCCATGTGTGATCTGTTGTGGTCCGATCCCTTGGAGGACTTTGGCAATGAAAAGAACTCAGATTTCTATACGCACAATTCGGTGAGAGGCTGTTCGTATTTCTACAGTTATGCAGCCTGCTGCGATTTTCTGCAAAACAACAATCTACTCTCGATTATACGAGCTCACGAGGCGCAGGACGCTGGCTATCGTATGTATCGGAAATCACAAACCACCGGCTTTCCGTCGCTCATCACCATATTCTCAGCACCCAACTATTTGGATGTTTATAATAATAAGGCTGCTGTATTAAAATATGAAAACAATGTCATGAATATACGCCAATTTAATTGTTCCCCCCATCCCTATTGGCTTCCCAACTTCATGGATGTCTTCACTTGGTCTTTGCCTTTCGTAGGCGAGAAGGTCACCGAGATGTTGGTGAATGTCTTGAACATTTGCTCTGACGATGAACTAATGACCGAGAGTGAAGAACCCTGCTCTGATGATGAGGCGGCCTTACGCAAAGAAGTCATACGCAATAAAATACGTGCCATTGGTAAAATGGCTCGTGTCTTCTCAGTTTTGCGTGAAGAATCTGAATCTGTACTGCAATTGAAGGGCCTGACACCGACCGGTGCCTTGCCATTGGGAGCTCTATCGGGTGGTAAACAATCATTGAAAAATGCCATGCAAGGCTTTTCGCCCAATCACAAAATCACCTCGTTTGCGGAAGCCAAAGGTTTGGATGCTGTTAATGAGCGTATGCCTCCTCGTCGTGATACAACACCCTCGCCGGCTGAAGAAGGCCAAAAAACCTTGTCCCAGCAAGCAGCTGCTGCTGCCAATGCCAATGCGAATTCAATCAATGGATAATTCTAAGTCAAATGCTAGAAAAAATAAATCATGCAACCAACCAAACAAACAATGCAAAACAAATAATATTGTTGAAACAAGTTTAAAGGTTTTTTCTCTCTTCTTTCTTTGTTAAAAAAATACAAAACAATTATAAAAAATAACACAATTCACATTTATATATTCTTCTACTACAAACAAAAAAAAAAAAAAACAGCAACAATTTTGGTTGAACATATAAAATGGATAATGAAGGTAAATATGCCGCAACTTTATTGTAGAAATGCAGTAGAAATGTACATAAAGAATTTATTATTATTTCATTATTTGTACTATTTGGTAGTTTATATATTATTACCTTCGTGAGAATGGTATGCATAGTTTTATCATTCCTTTTGTAATTTCCATAATTCAATTTAATGATGCTAGAAAGTATATAAAGTATACATACAGTGAATCAATTAAGTAATTTGCCTATGTAAAATTTTATAAATTTTAAGAAAAAACATTACCTGAACAATGATTTTTAGCAAAATAAAGCAATTTGTTTGTTGTATTTTTTAAAAAAAATATATTATATTTTAATTTTCTACCATAAAAAGTAAAATCGTGAAATTAATTAACGAGATTTTTGATAAAATGTGAACGTATTGTTAATATTTTAGGTCAATAAAGTATTTTGCTTTTTTAGGTTTTTTGTTAATTTTTTTAATATTGCTGCATTATTTTATAAAATTTTATATTTTTACTAGATATACCCAGTGTGCTTCGCTACCCTCATCGTAATGGAATAAAATAAATATTATTGTAAATGTATATATATCTGCAATATCAAAGAGTCCCCTATTTAAATTTATGTTTATATATTCAATATTTTAGAAAACTCAAAAAGTACCAATGAAGTACGAAAAAGTAACAAAAGACCTCTTTTATTTAATTTCATGTTCCTAAGTTCAATATTATAGAAAATTAAAAAAGTACCAGTTGAAGAACGAAAAATTACTAAAGGTCCCCTTTTATAGATTCTCATTAACATGGTTAATTTCATGTTATAAAAAACTCAAAAAGTACCTTTTGAAGAACGAAAAATTACCAAAAAGTCCTCTTTTATATGTTCTCACTTACTCCGGGCTCTACGTACTTAATTTCATGTTTCTAGGTTCAATATTATAGAAAATTCAAAAAGTACCTTTTGAAGAACGAAAAAGTGCCGAAAAGTCCCCTTTTATAGGTTATCACTTAATCTTGGCTGTACTTGTTTAATTTCATGTTTCTAGGTTCAATATTATAGAAAATTCAAAAAGTACCTTTTGAAGAACGAAAAAGTACCAAAAAGTCCCCTCTTATAGATTCTCATTTACTCCAGGCTCTATATGCTTAATTTCATGCTTCTAGGATCAATATTATAGAAAATTCAAAAAGTACCTTTTGAAGAACGAAAAAGTACCAAAAAGTCCCCTTTTATAGATTCTCATTTACTCCAGGCTCTACATGCTTAAATTCATGCTTCTAGGATCAATATTATAGAAAATTCAAAAAGTACTTTTTGAAGAACGAAAAAGTACCAAAAAGTCCCCTTTTATAGGTCCTCACTTAATTCGGGCTCTACATGTTTAATTTCATGTTTCTAGGTTCAATATTATAGAAAATTCAAAAAGTACCTTTTGAAGAACGAAAAAGTACCAAAAAGTCCCATTTTATAGATTCTCATTTACTCCGAGCTCTACATGCTTAATTTCATGTTTCTAGGTTTAATTTTAAAGAAAACTCAAAAAAGTACCTGTGTAGAACGAAAAAGTAGCGAAAAGTCCCTTTATTATTAATTTCATGTTTCTATTTCAATATCATAGAAAACTCAAAAAGGACCAGTTGGAGAATGAAAAGTACCAAAAAATATCACTTGATACCGGGGTTCCAAATAACACCCCATTAGGATATTTAGTGTTTCTAAATTTAAAAATTTTATCTAAATTGGATCATTGTGGTTGAATAAAATCAAATTTCCCGTTTTTACCCTTTTGGGACTTTTTTCCTCCCCATTAACGAAATAAAAATTCTATTCCAAAAAGTTGCAACATCGTAGTGGGACCTCGTTTTTATGTATTCATATGTATAAGTTAATAAACCAAAAACAATGTTTTATGAAAAAAGTACCAAAAATAGGTACAATTTTAACCCCTTAAATGTCCGATTATCCAAAAAGTACTAAATTCATATTTTTATTTTTTCGTTAAGTTATGAAGGAGCCAAAAATATTTTTTGAATGTGCACTGGTTTAAAAGATACATGGGGTGCGAAAAAAGTACCAAAATACAGTTTTTACCCGTTTATTCCCTAAAGGGGCCGAATTTTAAAAAAGTACCAGACACCTGTCCGTTTATTTTTTAAATGAACGGCGATAAGCTTTAAACTGTTTTTATATCTTTTCTAGTTTAGGAGATATAAGGCTACCGAATTTACCCGTTTTTACCCTTTTTTACCCCCTAAACATTCGTATTTCCAAAAATCCCGTCTTAGTGGATCTATTTGGCGGGAGACCAACCTCCTGTCCAAATTTCAGCTCTTTAGCTTCAACCGTTTAGGCTGTGCGATGATGAATCAGTCAGTCAGTCAGTCAGTCAGTAACGTTAGAATTTTATATATATAGATTACTCCTATATATAACATTTTTAGATATTTTAGTAGTGGAACGACTAAATTTGGACATTTCTTAACCGATTTATTATCCTATATACCTATAAGAATTTATCAATATTTGATTTAACATGAAATCTATCGTTTCTTTGATTAAATTTCTAAAATAATAAGTAATTTTGAATTGGATACGTAATATATTAGATAATCAATGGATTTGGAACTAGAAAAAATGTTTACTTGGGTATAAATCTATATATTATAACAAAAATAATCTGGGTTTGTGGTCATTTTGTATTGATAAACAAAAACTACATTACGGAAACCCCATCTATATGGGGAGTACTGTGTAAATTTTATTTAGAATTGTAGAATATTGATTCTTATTCAATAAATCTAACACTAAGTACCATCCTAGCCACTCTAAGTATGGGGATATCACCATATACCACTATAGAACTATTACATGATAAAATCTTGATTTTCAACCTCATATTTTAATTGCTTCATTTTATGAATAAGATACAGTAGGCGTATTTGGATCTGGATAGTTATTCTTGATTTCGGTTCTAAATATAAATAAGTGTTTGTATTAGCTGAAAAATAATGCTTTTGTTGACCTTAGGTGATGATAACCACCTCTATTTTAAAATATCTAAATTAAGTATTTTTCCTGTACTACACAACAGTTCACTTTACATTGGTTCCAAGCAACCTAAGGTCTGTTTAGAAGTCTAAATTTAAACATAGTGTTCCTCCTAGTTCGTATATGGATTTTGGAGAAGATAAATCAGGAGTCTAATGGTTTTCCTTGGATACAAGTCGCCTCCCTTTGGCAGTTAAAGATTTTGAAAGACCACTCAGTGCGTTTTTTCTAATAATTCTTTGGATCATTTCATCAATTACTATATTTTATATTTTTTAATGTTATTGATTAAACATCTCATAATTATATTTCACTGATTTACACTTGTTCTAGAAATCTAACCTAATTTTTTATATTGAAATTGCCTCATTATTTTCCTTTAAACATTTTTAAGGCAAATAACATCACAGTTGCACACAATGAGGATATGATTTTTTGCAAATTGCAATTGAAAAATACTTAACACGCGTCCTTTTAACAATAAAATAATAAATTCCAAAAAGTAATTAAAAAATAATTTGAAAACCCCAACGAAATTAACTCGAATTCTAAAAATGCAAAATACTTTATTGACCTGCAAATTCTGATGAAAAATAATAAAATGCAACAACAAATGCACCAAAATTTGTATTTTAATTTTTTTTCTTGATTTTCCCATTTTACACAATCTCTATTTTTAATTGGAAAACATAAATTTACTTTTTAAATGTTTTTTCGAATTTTATTTATGAACAAAAAACAAAATTCGCCAAAAAAAAGGTAGGCAAAAAACTTAGTTGATTCACTGTACATACATTATATTTTGATATTCTCAATGTTCGTATCCTAAATATTGGAGATATGAGTATAATTCCGACGAAAATCAGGATTTTTTTCTCTTATTTTAATATATTTTTAAGTAAAACTGAACTAGAACTAAACTAGAACTGAATTAAAAATGAACTTGAACTCAATTAGAACTAAACTAGAACTGAACTAGATCTGAATAAGGACTGCAATAGATCTGTACTAGAACCGCACATACTAAGCTATAGTCCAGACTATAGATTGGACTATTGTCCAGACTATAGACTGGTCTTTAATCCAGTATAGAATCTTTGTTTAAAGATACAAAAAAATTATAAAAATATATTATTATGAAGGGAATAAAAGATTCGTCGCAGCCGAGTATAACACTGTTATTTGCTTTTTATTTAATATACAATAGAATAGCTTTTAAATCATACAGTTATGGCAATTTAATTAGTACGTACTGCAATCATATTTGTACTACTGCTGTTTTGTTTGTTTTCATATACATATTTTGTTCTTTAGTCTTGGGGGCGCCCGTTGAAAATGTCAAATGTCAATAGACTTGATATACTTTTATAATTATACATAGTCAGTCATAGTTATACATACATATGAATAGTACATATTTAAGCTGGCACATTTAAACATACAAATATTGTCTATTCCATAAGTATAGCAATCTTTCTAATCATTTGTTTTCATCATAATATTATAGTGATTAATGAGAGGTTTTCTTAGCTTTTTTGTCTATTTGTTTACGTTATGTTTATATGGTCACTTATACTAATTTGTTTTTAATAATTAAACAGCTTTTCGATTTAATGTGTGGCTAAACAAAAGTTTAATTTTCATATATTGACGTTTTGTATTTAGGTTTTAATTATTATTTACATACAATTCTAATCGTAGAACCACTTGCTAATGGAGTTATATTTTTAAGCAAAGAAACAAAAGGGTTTATTAGAACAAAAATGAACAGAAATTGACTTAATTACATTATAATTAAAAAATAAGACCAGAAACTAAAGTTTTTTTTTTTAATTTTTAGAAATTTTTCTATAATTTGGTCTTCTGCTGTATTAAAGGCTTATATTCTGTTTTTTTTTTAATTCATATTAGTTTTTTTATAATGAACATAAAAAATGAACTTTTTGTTTGAAACTTTTAAAAAGGCTCTTTTGTTTTTGTAAATCTCAAATGTATTAAATTTATATTTCGTTAGATTATGTACAATTCAAAAAGGCAGCAACTGAACTAAAACTGAACTAGAACTGAACTACAACTGAACTACAACTGAACTAGAACTGAACTAGAACTGAACTAGAACTGAACTAGAACTGAACTAGAACTGAACTAGAACTGAACTAGAACTGAACTACAACTGAACTACAACTGAACTACAACTGAACTAGAACTGAACTAGAACTGAACTAGAACTGAACTAGAACTGAACTAGAACTGAACTAGAACTGAACTAGAACTGAACTAGAACTGAACTAGAACTGAACTAGAACTGAACTAGAACTGAACTAGAACTGAACTAGAACTGAACTAGAACTGAACTAGAACTGAACTAGAACTGAACTAGAACTGAACTAGAACTGAACTAGAACTGAACTAGAACTGAACTAGAACTGAACTAGAACTGAACTAGAACTGAACTAGAACTGAACTAGAACTGAACTAGAACTGAACTAGAACTGAACTAGAACTGAACTAGAACTGAACTAGAACTGAACTAGAACTGAACTAGAACTGAACTAGAACTGAACTAGAACTGAACTAGAACTGAACTAGAACTGAACTAGAACTGAACTAGAACTGAACTAGAACTGAACTAGAACTGAACTAGAACTGAACTAGAACTGAACTAGAACTGAACTAGAACTGAACTAGAACTGAACTAGAACTGAACTAGAACTGACTAGAACTGAACTAGAACTGACTAGAACTGAACTAGAACTGAACTAGAACTGAACTAGAACTGAACTAGAACTGAACTAGAACTGAACTAGAACTGAACTAGAACTGAACTAGAACTGAACTAGAACTGAACTAGAACTGAACTAGAACTGAACTAGAACTAGAACTGAACTAGAACTGAACTAGAACTGAACTAGAACTAACTGAACTAGAACTGAACTGGAACTGAACTAGAACTGAACTAGAACTGAACTAGAAACTGAACTAGAACTGAACTAGAACTGAACTAGAACTGAACTGAACTGAACTGAAATAGAACTGAACTAGAACTGAACTAGAACTGAACTGAACTGAAATAGAACTGAACTAGAACTGAACTAGAATTGAACTAGAACTGAACTAGAATTGAACTAGAACTGAACTAGAACTGAACTAGATCTGAACTAGAACTGAACTAGAACTGAACTAGAACTGAACTAGAACTGAACTAGAACTGAACTAGAACTGAACTAGAACTGAACTAGAACTGAACTAGAACTGAACTAGAACTGAACTAGAACTGAACTAGAACTGAACTAGAACTGAACTAGAACTGAACTAGAACTGAACTAGAACTGAACTAGAACTGAACTAGAACTGAACTAGAACTGAACTAGAACTGAACTAGAACTGAACTAGAACTGAACTAGAACTGAACTAGAACTGAACTAGAACTGAACTAGAACTGAACTAGAACTGAACTAGAACTGAACTAGAACTGAACTAGAACTGAACTAGAACTGAACTAGAACTGAACTAGAACTGAACTAGAATTGAACTAGAACTGAACTAGAATTGAACTAGAACTGAACTAGAACTGAACTAGAACTGAACTAGAACTGAACTAGAATTGAACTAGAACTGAACTGAACTAGAACTGAACTAGAACTGAACTAGAACTGAACTAGACACTGAACTAGAACTGACTTGAGAACTGAACTAGAACCTGAACTAGACCTGAACTATTGACTAGAACTGAACTAGAACTGAACTAGACTTGAACTACTATAACTGAACTAAGAAACTTGAACTAGAACTGAACTGAACATGAACTGAACTAGAAAACTTGAACTGAACTGAACTAGAATGACCTAGAACTGACTAGAACTGAACTACTGACTAAACTGAACTAGAACTGACTAGAACTGAACTAGAACTGAACTAGAAACTGAAACTCGAATTGAACTAGATGAACTGCACGTAGACGGAACTAGAACTGAACTGAACTGAACAGAAGGAACTAGAACATGAACTAGGAACTGAACTAGAACTGAACTAGAAGCGAACTAGAACTTGAACTAGAACTGAACTAGAACTGAACTAGAACTGAACTAGAACTGACGAACTAGAACGGAACTAGAACTGAACTATATGACTAGAACTGAACTAGAACTGAACTAGAACTGAACTAGAATGAACTAGAATGAACTAGAACTGAACTAGAACTGAACTATGAACTGAACTACTGAACTGAAACTAGAAACTGAACTAGAACTGAACTAGAACTGAACTAGAACTGAACTAGAACTGAACTAGAACTGAACTAGAACTGAACTAGAACTGAACTAGAACTGAACTAGAACTGAACTAGAACTGAACTAGAACTGAACTAGAACTGAACTAGAACTGAACTAGAACTGAACTAGAACTGAACTTGAACTGAACTAGAACTGAACTAGAACTGAACTAGAACTAAACTAGAACTGAACTAAAACTAGTACTGAACTAGTAGTCAGTATGAGGAGTTTCTATGTTTATAACAAAAATTTTAATTGTCCTTACTCACATACATACATTTCTTTTTTTATATTTCCAGGAGTAATTCGAAAAGAAACCAGAAAAAATATTAAAATAAAGTGAACAGCAGCAAAAGAGGAAAACTTAATTTAAGCATATATCAAAAATTTAACAAGAAAATATATAAAAAAACATACTTTTGAAAATTTTTGAAATTTTAAATAAATCATAATGAAAAGAATAATTAAAAATCTACAACATTAATGAAGTTATAACAAGTTAGCCAAGATAAGAAATGAAGAAAACAAATTAATATAAATTCAAAAAGAATATTAAACAGAAAAACTAAGAAAAGTAAACAAATAATAAAAAAATAAATTATATAAAATATACAACATATTTCTTAAAATCTCTCACCCTAAATCTAAACTAACTAACTCTCTCTCTAACTATCTTTCTCACACTCTCTCTCTCTGTCTACTATAAAACTTTTTTAGATAGCTTTAACTAATCTTTAAACCAGAAAGAAAAAAAAAAACTAAAAAAAGAAACTTTTCTTACTACATATTTTATATTGTATACCTAAAAATTTTTTTTAATGAAAAATAAAAAAACCTTAAAAAAACATTATTGGTTATTTTTTATATTTATATGTAAAACTAGATAAAAAAAAAAGAAAAACTTTAAAAACATGTTACCCATTCCATCAATCATATTTTCGTTGTTTTTTTGTTAATTTCATCAAGTGGTAAATTGTTTCCTTTCTAAAAAAAAAAAAAAAACAATCAAACAAACAAACACCTACAGTTACTTAAATACTAAATTAAAAAGTACTCCTCCTTCAAATAAATTTCAAAACTCTACTTTTTTAATACTACAACACACATACTTAGTGATCATAGTCATATGTGGTCTTTATATACGTGCCATCTTTTTTAAACTTTAAAACAATTGTTAGTCATTTTTATTTAAAAGAAAAAAGAATTTAAACATGTTAAGCTCTAAATAAAATGAAAACTTTTAATAAAAAAACTATAATAACATAAAAACAACATACAACAAAAGAAAAAAAAAAACAAATTTAAATTTTAAGCTTAAGGTTAAATATTAAAATGAATGAAAAACAAATCATGTTAAAAATTAAAATTATATAATTATTTGGCCTTCTTCTTCCTTTTCTATATCCTCTTTAAAGAATCTCTAAATTATTCTAATTATTATTAAAATTTGTTTTATATTTCCTTTTAAATTTTTTTAAAGGTTTAATTTTCTTTTAGTTAATTTTTAAATTTTATTAAAATACTTAAACAAAAAAAGATTGTATCATATGTATACTTAATTACTTTTATTATTATTGTTTTTTTATATAAATTATTGGGTTATTTTGTTGAATTTATTTTTTGCTCCTACTATTTTAATTTATATATTTTATTATTAATATATTATATTTTTTTTAATTTTTAAGAATTTTATTAATAAAGTTGATTTAATTTAAAAAAAAAGTAATTTTATCAAAAAAGTGGTTTTTATTTTTTGATTTTGTTTAAAGTTAGTGAAAACATATTTTGGGAATGTTTAAAACAATTTTAAAAGATTCGATAAAGATTATATATTTTGTGTATAAACAATCGTTTCTTTCAAGAGTTTTGTTTTAGAAAAGTTTTTTTTACGAGAGCTTTTCCATGGTTAAAGTTCTTTAGAAAAGTTTTTCTACAACAAAATTTAAATGCAAAAGCTTTTTTTGAAAACCTTTTTGCTTTGAAAAGTTTCTTACGAGAGCTTTTCCATAGAAAAAGTTGCCTACAAAAGTGTTTTTGTAAAAACACGCTCTAAAAAAGTTTTACTATAGAGCTTTACTACGAAATAAGATATATACAAAAGCTTTTATACAGAAAAAGTTCCTCACGAAAGTTTTTGTACAGAAAAGGTTTTTTGACAAAAGTTTTTCTGTGGAAAACTTTGCTCACCAAAGCTTTTCTATATAATAAGTTTCTCACAAAAGCTTTTCTATAGAAAATGTTTCTCGCAAAAGTTTTTCATTAGAAAACATTTCTAACGAAATCTTTTTCTATAAACAATTTTCTCAAAAAGCTTTTGTATAGAAAACATTTTGCACAAAAACTTCTGTATAGGAAAAGTTTCCAATGAAAACTTTTCTTTAGAAAAAGTTTATCACAAAAGCTTTTCTATAGAAAACATTTTTTCACAAAAGCTTTTCTATAGAAAACATTTTTCACAAAAGCTTTTCTATAGAAAACATTTTTCACAAAAGCTTTTGTATAGGAAAAGTTTCTCACAAAAGCTTTTCTATAGAAAAAGATTCTCACATTTTATTACAAAAAAGTTTTTGTTAAAAAAAGCTTTAATATGGAATATGATCCATACGAAAGCTTATCTATAGAAAAAGTTTCTCACGAAAGCTATTTATTAAAAAAGTTTTTCGCAAAAGCTTTTCTATAGAAAAAATTTTCTCACAAAAGCCTTTGTATAGAAAAAATTTCTCACAAAAGCTTTTGTATAGGAAATTTTTCTAATGAAAGCTTTTCTATACAAAAAGTTTCTCACAAAAGCTTTTCTATAGAAAAAGTTTTGAACAACACTATGAGAAACTTTTGTGTCTAAAAAAAAGCTCTTCTATACAAAACGTTTTCCTATAAAAAAAGTTTCTTAATCTTTTTCTTGCAAAGACTTTCTTTAGAAGTTTTTCACATCAGTTTTCTGTAAAAAAAAAAAGTTTCTCACAACAGTTTTTCTTTAGAAAAAGTTTCTCGCAAAAAGTTTTTTTTTAGATAAAGAATGACATATTTTGAAAAATTTACAAAAAACATAAGAACAGTAATAAAATTTAAATACCACTGCAAGGTCAAAGGTTATAAAGAGAAATTAGAAAACGTTTCCACTACAAAAAACTATGAGAGTTTAAAGAACAACATTTTAAACAGAATTTGAAAATTCTCGGATCAAAAACATTTCTATATTCGAAGCATGAAAGGTCAAAGTTTACATACTGGGATTTTGTTTGCTAATAGGGAATTTCACAAGTTTAATAATTTAATATTTGGTTTTATAATTTCATTATTATTTCAAGTGAAATTTTGTATTATATTGTTTGTTTTTTGTTTTAAATTTTTTAACAATTTTCCCTTAAATATTCTTAAAGTATAAAACAAAATACTGAAACTTTCTTCTTATAATAACTTTTACTCTGTTCTACTTGTTTAATAAGAAATAAAAACTTAAAGCGAAACATAAAGCTTTTAAACTTAAAAAAGTTCATTTCAAATTTCATATAAAAAATAAAAAACCAAAAAAGTTTTTATGAAAAATTTAAAATATTTACAATTTAAACTAATATTACAGTCATATTTGTGCTAAAATACTTTCTATATGTAAAAATGAATTAAAAATTCTCTTTAGTTTATAATTTCTTTATATAAATTGATGATTTCAATTATTAAAAAAAAATGAATTTCTTTAATTAACCTCAAAATGACTCAATATGAGTAATCCTTCTAATGTGATCTTAAATTAATATTGATTCTATATTTTTAAACAATTTCATATTACACTTTTAAAAACTACATACAGGCACAAGACTGTAATAAAAACAAATAAATAAAATTCTTTTCTCTGAAATAATAAATATAAAACAAAAACAATATAAAAGGTTAAAAATAATTTAAATAATAAATATAAACATTAAATGCAATTTACTACCAAACACAAAATGAATCATAAAACATTTCTTTAGTTAATAAAAATATTTAAAATGTTTTGCTTAAATTTAAAAACAAAAGCAAAATTTAATTTTATAATAAAAATAACAAACTTATGAAAATCATTTAAATAACTATTTTTTCTCTCTCAATTTAATTAATTAATTAAAAAATCAAACAATTTTTTATATATTTTCAACTATAATTTAAAAAAAATAAAAAAAAATAAATTTAATTAAAAGAAGATAAAAACAAAACAAGAAATATTCTTCTCTAGTTAAAAAAAAATAAAATATAAAAATTAATTTTTTTCTATAACAAATATATTTAAAATTTAATAATAATATTAAAATAAAAAAACAAACATTTTTAATTATAAGCAACAAATACCTTTCAATGGTGTAAAACTTTAATGCAATCTTTCTTAAAATAAATAAAACAAAAACAACTAAATAAAAGATATTATATTTAATTATAAAAAAAAAGAAAAATTTTGCGTAAAACATTAACAAAATAAAAAAAGAAAACTTTTTATTAATAATAAATAAGTCTCTATTTGCTAATTTTGATTAAATAAACAAAATCATGATCAACAACAAAGAAAACATAAAACAAAAAGCATAAAACTGATAATTAACAAAATAAAACATTAATAAAAAAGAAAAAAAACATTATTAACAAAAAATTAATGTTATTTAATAAAATTTAAGTTTAACATTATACAAGTACCTATCCTTAAAATAAAAATAAAATAATAAAAAAAATACAAAAAACAAGAAAAAAATGAGAAACCAAAAAATAAATAAAACAAATGCACGTTTATAATCTACGACAATTTTCTTCCCTAAAAAAAACTTTGTGTCAAATGTGTTTTATTTCCATTGGGGGTTAAATTTTGCTATCTGGAGGGAGTTTACAAGCTAACCTAAAGCTTTTGGGTTAACTTTAGTTTAAGGGAAAAATTATTTAAAAAAGCTTCTATAGAAAAGACCCTATGTTCTTCTTTAGAAAAAGCTTTAATGTTAACTTTTGTTTAAGGGAAAAATTATTTAAAAAAGCTTTTATAGAAAAAACCATATGTTCTTCTTTAGAAAAAGCTTTAATGTAAAAAAAGTTCTTACAAAAGTTTTTGGAAAATCTTTCTTACAAAAGTTTTTCTTTGGAAAAACTTTCTTACAAAAGTTTTTCGTTGGAAAAGGTTTCTTGCCAAAATTTTTCTATAGACAAAGTTTCTAGAAAAAGATTTCTTACAAAAGTTTTTCTAAGGAAAAACTTTCTCACAAAAGTGTGTCTATAGAAAAGCTTTCTTACAAATTTTTTTCTATAGAAAAACTTTCGTATAAAATTGTTTCTATGGAAAAGCTTTCTTGTAACATTTTTTCTATAGAAAAGGTTTCTTACAAAAGATTTTCTATAGAAAAGCTTCCTTACAAAAGATTTTCTATATAAAAGCATTCCCTCTGACAAAAGCTTTTCTAAAGAAAAGCTTTCTGACAAAAGGTTTTCTAAAGAAAAGCTTTCTGACAAAAGTTTTTCTAAAGAAAAGTTTTGTGACAAAAGTTTTTCTAAAAAAAAACTTTCTGACAAAAGTTTTTCTAAAGAAAAGCTTTCTGACTAAAGTTTTTCTAAAGAAAAGCTTTCTGACTAAAGTTTTTCTAAAGAAAAGCTTTCTGACAAAAGTTTTGCTAAAAAAAGCTTTCTGACAAAAGTTTTTCTAAAGAAAAGCTGTCTGACAAAAGTTTTTCTAAAGAAAAGCTGTCTGACAAAAGTTTTTCTAAAGAAAAGCTGTCTGACAAAAGTTTTTCTAAAGAAAAGCTTTCTGACAAAAGTTTTTCTAAAGAAAAGCTTTCTGACAAAAGTTTTTCTAAAGAAAAGCTTTCTGACAAAAGTTTTTCTAAAGAAAAGCTTTCTGACAAAAGTTTTTCTATAGAAAAGCTTTCTGACAAAAGTTTTTCTATAGAAAAGATTTCTGATAAAAGTTTTTCTAAAGAAAAGCTTTCTGACAAAAGTTTTTCTATAGAAAAGCTTTCTGACAAAAGTTTTTCTATAGAAAAGCTTTCTGACAAAAGTTTTTCTATAGAAAAGCTTTCTGACAAAAGT